TAGGTGTGGTGTGGTGTGGGGGCAGCTGTGTAGCAGGGGTAGGTGTGGTGTGGTGTGGGGGCAGATGTGTAGCAGGGGTAGGTGTGGTGTGGTGTAGGGGCAGCTGTGTAGCAGGGGTAGCTGTCCTGTGGGGGTAACATGTTTGGGAAAATGGCTGCAGGGGCTGATGGGAGCTAGGCTGCCACTCCTGCTGTGTACCTGGAATGGGAAGAGCCGGTCTGCAGGAGCGTTCTCCTCTGGAAGCACCGTCTCTACACATTTGATCTTCTCAACCTCCACGCAGCCTTTCAAACTCTTCCTTTTCTGAGTGGAAAACACACCATCAGATTACGGCAACAGGTGAGCCGCAGCCATGATGATTTACCGCAGCAGCACTGCCATACTGTGATCAGGCATCGTGTTCTCTGGATGGTTCATTCATCCTGTCAGCACACTATGAAGGAGCCTGACTCAAGTAGTCAAAATTGTCAGGCACACTGAGAAAGCCCTTCAGAATCAACAGTGAAACACGAACCAGAGGACACAGCTAGCAAGCTCATACAGCAAGTAAACATCAAGCATCGAAAAAGCCAAGACATTCATCCTGATGATGGATCCCCCTGCCTCCTCTGGGTTTATACAATCTACTGTGGTGAGCGCTTTACATACCCCTTTATCAAAATCATAGTCATAGTAGCTTATCTTGTCATTCGTCAGAATAAAGAGCCTTTCCTTGTAGTTCAGCGGTGAGGTTTTCTTCTTCTGCTGGGAGCGTTTTACAAAAATCTCTTCCAGGATGTTTTCTGACATGGTCTACTCCTACAGCTGAGGGTCTACCTGAAACAACAGGACAGCAGTCCTTCACTTTGCAAGACAAAGAATCAGTTTCTCCGCAGAGGACCGAGCCCATATGCTGGATATGCAACATGGCCTTTTCAAACAGGGTCTGGACCATCTCAAACAGGACCATCTCACTGCGATCCCTGCACAAGAGTCCTGCACTGGTTGTTTTAAATCGATAGCATGCTGGCTGCAGTGACTCTCTTCACGTAATTCGACATACACGATGCTGACAGAAATGACTCTAAGCAATGGCTGTAAAACTTGTTTGAGAGTGACCATTGGAAATACAATATGATACCATTGAGCATTAAGGTATTTTGCACATCACCCTCTATGTGCATGACCAAGCAGCGCAGCAGGACCTTCCAGAGCAAACCAGGGAGGCAAGAGCCATCCACTTAACATAAACATCCAGAAAGTACAGCTGCATTCTCTACAGTGTCATAAAATAACTATGGCTCAGCATGGGTGTATAAGTACATTTTTCCTGTCAGACATTTTTTTTCAAATGTCAAGGCCGATATTGCCCCTAAGTTCATACAATGTGTATTAATTAATATTATTTGCACCCTCACACAGATTAGATGATTCAGAAAGGACGTGCAGTACTTCAAGTCTAGTCATTAATAGCACAGGTCTCCTGCAATTGTTGGTGTGCAAAATTAGCTTCCTGGCTTGAGCAGACTTTCAGTGTCTGGGAGACTTACTGTATACTGCACATCAGTGTAGCACAAACATAGTATCTCACCCTTCCCTTATGTGACCATTGTGAAGAGAGAAGGCCCTTTCAGCATGCAACCTTATTAATTATACATTTAATTTTACCATCTTCTTCTATCATTTAGTAAAAAGGAAATATGTCTTGCAGATTTTATAATGCTAACCAATACATTACTACATTTATAGTACTCTCTGTGTTGTGCTATTGTGTTGAGCACCTTATTGCATATGTTATTTTATTAAAGATCTGGTGACTTCCACCTACAGTAAACCTGCTATAGGCCTTGGCATGTCTCCATGGGATCACACACACTCTCTCATTATTCACACCCACCCAGCACAGTTGCAACTTTCACACTAGCATCTTAAAGCTGTTAGATCAGTTCAGAGATGGTGAAATGTGTTACCTCGAATATAGACCTTCTCTCATGTACAGTATGTTTTAACCCATTACATCCTATGGACTAGTCATTCAACCTGTCAGCACATTATGAGGAGACCTGATTAAAGTATTCACAATTCTCAGACACTGATAAAGTCAACCCAATGGGTTTCTTTGGTATCAACAGTAAGGCCTGTTGAACCAGAAGACATCAGTAAGAGTGCATTTAACCAATACACAAGATTACAAGATTCTAATCTTTACACAAAGTGTCGTGGGAGTCTGGAAGAAGCTATCCAGCCATCCTGTTGAAGTTCAAACCCTGGTTTCCTTCAAGAAACATTCTTATGTTGCTGTAACATGACTTACCTGCTGGTGATGGGCTTTCAGGAAAGGCAATACATCTGGGAAATTCTCTGAACAAAACTGAAATGAAAGATATGTATATAAATACATGTATAAATATAATAGAATTTGCATGTGCCTCTTATAATGCAAATAATGTCCTTTTTGAAAACATTTCCTCATAGAAGTTTCCCCTTAGATAAAGCTTCCTGGGCTTTACATGTGTTGTAAATACTGTAACTTGAATGTAACTAGTGAACAACATTCTAAATTTCAACATCTAAACTGCTCGTGTGAATTGATAAAGATTCCATGTGCCATCCTTATTATTTGAATATAAATGTGTTTTTTTTCAGACATTGTTGCATATATTTTCCTGGCACACAGAAAGTTTAAATATTCTTTTTCACATTGCTGTGTAGAAAGTAACAGTTGGCTACTTCCCAACATTCATGAACAGCTTAATAATTATTTTGGGCACATAAATAAACCATCTAAATTTCTAATAGAATTTATTTATTATTGATGAAAAGTCCAGCCAAAAACTGTTTAGTCAGAGGCTCTTGTATAATACAACACATCCACTATTTACAAGAACCATTTTCAAACCATTAAACAAAACAACCAAATAAACTTACCTTGAATGGCGAATTCATTTGCATTTGTAAAACACCTACAGTCTGACCATTTACAGTAAGCACCTTGTGCGTGGTGAAACTGTCAAAGCCATATGCAAACTTTGCTGAACAAAAGAGCCCAAAAAACAAAACAAGGTTTGCACTTATTTTTCATGACAATGCAGGCTAGGTTAACCCCCACACTTGCAGTTCTTTGTTACAACAGGACCACCTAGCACACATCTGTCATACTAATAAAGTAATCAAGGAATATGTATCTAACTCTCCTATAGACTTTTAAAAGAGCTCGACTGGCTGTTGTTGCACATATAAATGGTCTTGCATGAAATAAAAATAAAAGACACCAACAGTATTGGGGAAAAGGTCTGCAGTCTGTGCCTAGAATTAGAAAGAGTGAGGTTTTGTTGCAGTGTAACAGTTCTCAGTCTTCGCTGCATTATCGCTGTGAAGTCAAGTGATGCAAGACTGGTGCGCGGTGCATCTCCATCGACACCAATCACTCCCAGCCCTCACCCCTCCTCCTCGTCAGCATGGCAGTCTTGCTCCTCCAGCTGGAGCTGCTCGGGAAACCCAGTGGAGCATCCTTACCTTTCCACACTACAGCTGCGAGAATGAAGATCTGCTCGTCTTTCTCTCTGAAGAGGCCATGGCTGTCAGGGCTGCTGAGACGCCTATTTTAAACCCCTCTAACCATTTCCTGCCTCTTCAGTTGCTGATTATCACCTGCTCTTCACACTAATCACACACTAAACTGCTGATACAAAGTGTTTTGCGTTCTTAGCTTTTTTGTTGTTGTTTTTTGTTGCTGCCCTGCTGTAGGCAGAGATGTGAACTATGCAGTATTTCCCCCCTCTGTCATTAAAGAAAAACACATGTACAGCTTGGGGACCATGCTGCCCTTATCCAGCAGCAATGTCAGCTTTTGCCTGGAACGAAGGTCCCAGCTCACAAACTGCTGCTGAATTGAGGAACCAGTTTCTGCCATCCTTGATTTTAGACTTCCTTTCTGCAGTCTCTTATCCCGAGTTCTGGCATGTTATTTGACAGGTTACCAAACTTCACCTTTAGGAATCCCTTCTGAAAGAAAGTGTAGCAGCACTGTTTTTAAGATCCTCTACCGCCCTTCAAGCAGAGTAGCTCCACACCACGTTATGGGGTTTGCCATGTCTTAGAGATAGACACAAGGGGGGCTTCTAGTCAATTAGCAATCATAACAACAACGAGTAACGCAGGGCACGCGGCCCACCGGACGCACACTGTAAAGTGACATTTGAGTCTTATTTTTTTTTAAAATTGCTGCATTTATGCCACTTTATACTTTGCAGCCTGGGCTTAATGGACTGCTCATATCAGTGGCTGGCCTATTTATTGTCTATTGATTTTACACCAGGCAGAAGATGTCCTCTGTGTGGTTAGTCCTCCACAAACGTTGTCTCTTTACATGAGTGATGTTTCCAGGCTTTGCCCTCTCTCTGTGAAATACAGTTTGGACTATAGTGGTCTCACACTCAGTGGATTGATAGATTGTTTTAAGAAATGCATCAATAGCAGGCAAGAACCTACATCATTTAATTGGGATTACGTGAGAATTACAGAACTTTTCTCTTACTGTGGTTCTAGATTAAATCTATCCTGAAAATACTGTTTATATAGAATACTGTGAAAGGACCTAGGAACCCCGAGATGCTAATATAAATATAAAAAAACTCAAATTTGAGATTAGAACCAGCAGTGTGGGGATCTTATCTGCAAAGCTCTTAGCATTTCACTTTGCAGACTGAGACAGAAATGTTTCAGATGTTGTAGTCATGTAGCTGTGTACAGCTCAGTGCCTGCAAAACATGCTGACACTCATCAGACGTGGTCTCTTCCATTGAATTGATTTTGTACATATTCAGGGAAGAATTCCTACTCCACTGACTCTGCAGTAATATACTGTATATTTCTTTATTTCTGACACCAGTGAGGAGATGTGTTGAATCTCTTGGTTTATATGCAGAATGGTACAATGAAGGGATGATTCAACAGTGTTCAGTTCCTTCATGTTCCTTTTCTCTAAGAAAGTTCATTGGAAAAAGTAACTAAAAGGAATTTCTAGCTTTTTGCGAGTTTCCTGATGCAGCGAAGATTAAAATAAGGAAAGAGTGTGTTTAAGGTGATAGCTGCTGTGTCTCATTAATAAAAACAAACATACTATGCAAAAACAAAAAAATATTGTTTCTGCTACCTACTGTATTAAAACAATTGTTAATCTGTTAGGCTCCCAGGTATCTGAAAATGCAAATTGTACATCCTGTATTGTTGATTTGAGGGAGTAATTTCCAGCTTGATACATGTGAAAGGCTCTATAAAGATGTATTTCAAGAGATATTACGGAGGGTAACTCCACAGATTACAAATGAATTTTGTCGCTCTCGGGCTCTGCCTGCCTAATCGAAGCACGTGCACATAAAAGTCAGCAACACGTGGCCCAACGGTCACTATTCGGTTGTGTTATTCTTAAATCATTTTTTAAATATGAGAGATTTCGGTACACAAAAATTTGGTAAAATGATGAAAGAAGTAAACAAATGTTAAGTACTACTCCTGTTATTTTTGTTTTGTTGTTTTGTAAAAAGAAGCAGTTCCTCATTTACACTGTCCTCTGCTGCTCATGGTACTTTATTTTCTTTATAAAGACAAATCGTGAATAGGTTGTTTTTGCTCTCTTTCACAAATAACGAAAGTATTTGTGTATAACATCTTGTGTATAAGATGTTACTTCAAGACGTAGATTATAAGAACAGCAAATTATTCACAGAACAACATCTCATTTGCTTCCACAGCCTGCTAGCTTCTTCATATATGGGTATATGCGATCACTTGAATCATTTTAGATAAATAGTGCTCATAGTTTTAAATCACATTTTGTAGCAAGTAGCATAGGATGGACCAAGCATAGAGATTAAAACCAACACAGACTGTAATGGCACCTTTTCTAAACTTTCTGGCATTATATGATTTGCAAAAGCATTTTAAATAAGATGATTATTTTGTAGGGAACCGTCCTACTTAAAAAGCATCAGTGCAGATAACATTTGGAGCGTGTTTTGATATGAATGCACAATAAACATTACTTCATGACTTTTTTTAAGAAAAGAACAATTTACCAATGCCTAGCAGTGCTACATAATATTCTAATATTATCACATTAAAAGAACAGATTATCTCAGTGAAAACCAGGCCTGATGGCAGTGTACTTAGCAAGAGAACGTTTCTATACAAGAGGACGTTATTCATCTTATCATGGTCAAATTGTTTGGTCAATGAGTGCAATGATATTTGCATCTTAAATTAAATTATCAGCAGTTTCAGTTATTATACTTCTACATTTTTTAGATGACCTAAGGTGATACTAAAGAAGATTATTTCTTTTATATTTTATTTACTAAGATAAATAAAGCAGATAAATAAAGAATAATAAAAGAGGTTATTCCCACAGGTTATTCCTACAGACCTGGAGCTACAGTACAGTATGTCATCCATTGAGCACAACCCTGCTCAGGGCACCAGGATCCACAAGTATCTGTGCTTGGCTAAGAAGCCAATAAAGTGAGGCTATTGTGTGGAATTATGACTGAACACTTCTAATTTAGAATTCCTCCTAAATAGGTTAATAAAAAAAAACATGATATTTATTATTAAAAATATTGTTATTAAAAAACATGTTTGAAGATCTGCATGATTTGAATACATTTACTGACTTTATTAAAACATTTAACATGTAAATTCATAGTTAATTACTAAAATTCAACATAATATAATTATTTTATTATGCACACCGTGCTGTTTAAGGGAGGGTATGCACACACAGTACTTTTTAAAATTATTTTCTATATTAAAATGTTATTTTCTATGTGCAAATTATGAAAGATATTCTTCCTTAAAGGCCATCTCCAAATCTAACCTTTTTGAATATTTACAAATAAAATCCGATAATTCTACCAGTAAAAACTTTTCTTTTTCATATAAATGTTATGAAACTGCTTTATAAATACAGAACTGCCAGCCTTTTCTAGCTGATGGTACGTGATACAGTAGATGTTGTGGTCTCTTTGCTGGTCAGGATACATCAGACAGAAATTAGATAACAACACTAAAACTGCACATTGAACCGACCATTTTACTTTCTAAAATGGAATGTCGCAGTTTCTGAAATCACATATTCTGCCACAGAGTGGGGTTAAAGTGTGGGAAGAGAGTCTGTCAATTAAGGTACAGGTCTGAAAATGCAGGGAAACAGACAAGTTTCTGCAGCTCACAAGATAGGATAAGAGAGCTTTAGTCTGTGCTGCTTTCTATGTTGATAGGCACAAACAAATGAGATAAAAAATTATATAGACAGAAGGCTAAAGTTATTTTTTACAGCAATTCTATAGTTTTGTAAGAGTTGTAATGGTGTCCTGTACTGTCTACATTAGCCAAGGACTAGAGTCATTTCCCTCTGTATCTCACAACTGAGAAAAGATAAAGAGACAAGCCACAAGTACACTGGTAGTCAGGCAAGGAGCAGAATTTCCCGTTTAGAGTCTGGTTGCATAAATCAATTTCCTGGCATGTTCTAAGAAAACGAGCATGTCTGCTTTCCAAAAAAAAAGTAAGAAACGTTCTGCATTTTGCATTGAAATGGCAATGCACCAGAAACTTGATCTTATTTGGTGTTTTCTTTATTAATGCCAAAATGTAACCATTCATCACACATTTCTAAAAGGAAACCCCAACCATGCTGCAGGCGTTAAATATATTCTCTAGAGCCGCTCTGAAGCCTTCACCACTTCTTTACCTCAAGCTCACAGCAGATGGATGAGCCCTGCTGAGCTGGTGGCGGCTCATGCAGCCTGTCATTTTCAGCTTGAACAATGACTATTGTTTGGATCAGGATGTCAGATCTTTTTATATGGGGGGGGTGGTGGTGGAGTAGTGCCTACAGTTTTTCCGTCTGTTAATAACACATTTGCATCGCAAAACCATTTTACTGTACCCTGCTTGCACAGAGTCTGCATACAATGTCCCCTTAATTACAGAAGTACAGGAGCCCGAACGTTAGGCCGACTGTCAGAGCACAAGAGTTACTCTTCTGAAGTCAGTTACTCAGCAGTCCGATGGCCCCTGATATGTCTGCAAAATCTGTTCAATTTCTGAATAATAGTAATGCAAATTCCAGAACATAGGTTAAAATAGAAATGAAAATACATCACAGAGCAGCTGGCTTTCTCAGAGAGCATTATCCTGTGGCAAAGAATCAGGACTAAGAGGACCAAAGGAGGACAGGTATCCAAGCTGGCCCGAAAGGAAGATTAAGATACTCCAGCACAAGAGGCAAATAGCATCCCTAAAATATTAATATTAAGAACCCTTTAGCTGAAGTTGAAGTTACTTTTTCAGAATAAAACAAAAAGAGACATCCATATTTTAAGAAAGGTAAGCCTTCGCTCCTTCAGACACCACAAGGACCTGTGAATGTGAAGCATCCTGTGACACACCCCTGCTGATGGAGGACTGAAACGCTTTCCCTTCTCCAGAGCTGAAGCCGGTGGCCTCCAGCAATCCTGCCCTCCCCCACAGAGACCCCTAGTGCTAACAGAGCAGATAACATCAGCACACAGCTCTTACCTTTGCACTTGTGGAGAGCTCTGCCAGGAGCTGGGCTGCCTGCTGCCTGCTGCCCTCCGACAGATCACAGCAACACAGCTGTTCAGCACTAATTCCTCTTCAGGCTGTGACAGCAGACACCAAAGCCCCACCCTTAAAATAGGAACTAAGTCTGCCTAGTTCCCCTTTTGCTTCCTGCTTATTTTCATATTTGTTCACATTTTGTTGAGATATTCAGTCAGTTGAGAGAGGACAGACTACATATTTAGTGATTTGTGTCGTACCTTAACCCCTCTTTGCCTCTTTGGCATCTAATGTCCTTAAAAAAAACCCTGAAGGCAGCAATACTAGTGAAATTTGAATGCTGACTTGTAGTGACTTTGCAACTTTTTAGTGATTTGAGAAAAGGAATAACTACTACTGCTTCAGGTATTACATCTGACACTGCATCGTCTGTTTGTCTGTCTGCCTGTCTTTCTGTCTCCATCACATCAAATCTAAATGAAGTCTTCAGAACGTATAAGGACAAGTCTTCAGTGAAGAGAATAAGTGAGAACAAAATTTCTGCGGACCAGGGTCCTCACCAGACCTCAAACTCAGGACAGCCGATTTTAACCCTAACTCTTCACAAAAGTTCAAAATACTGAAAAACATTTCCTTGCTTCACGTAATATCTTTTTTGGGATTGTCACCTGCCCCGGTTTCACCAGTGCAGAGAAACGTGTTTTTATACATGTCGGTTTTTTAAAGTTTGTTGTTTTTAATGGCATAGAAAAGCGAGAGAGTAGCCAGGAGACGACTCACAAGGGAAGCCTGTACTTAATATTTAATAGTTCAGGTGGGGAGCTGCGTCAGCATGCGTAGGCTGCAAAGGAACAAGTAACAGGTTTATTCCATGCTGAAAAGAGAAGAAAGAAAACACAACGTTTCGGCCGTGGAGCCTTCTTCAGGTGTGTCTGAAGAAGTGTCTGAAGATACTACCGCCTACAGCTGCTGTGACCCACTATGCCTTCCTCCAAATCTTTTTCTAGATCTCTTCGTCATACCTTCTCTTCCTCCCTGGGCCACTTGCCCGCTTCTCTCACTAAACCAGCATTCCGTCTCTTCACAGCTATCTGTTCCAAGACCAGGCTTTCTAACCACCTTCTATTCCTTTACAGATGTCGTCGACATAATATCATCCCTAAAGGATTTCGCCTTAAATTTAATACCTTTTCTTTTGATTCTGATACCACCCAGAGTAACACTCAGAGACTTCTAAAACAATTTTCTAGGAAACTAATGCTCTCTACCATTTTCTCCCTCAAAAAACAGATTATCCTTTCCGACAACAACATCAAAGAGGCTAAGGAATTTCTACGGCTGACAGCTCCACACCATCTTCCCTTCATAACTAACCTCATTAGATCTCTCAACTCTAAACTCTACCAGTTTCTCACTACAGAGAAGGACAAAAAACTCAGTCATCTTCTACAGAAGAAAACCATCAACACCCCGAACACCCTCACCAACCCTAACAGACACACCTGAAGAAGGCTCCACGGCCGAAACGTTGTGTTCTCTTTCTTCATGGAATAAACCTATTACTTGTTCCTTAATATTTAATGTCATACATGGAAACTCAATAATGTTTGTGATCTGAAAAAGTGGTGGGAGTTTCAAGATGATATACTGCACTTTTTGCATAGAACAAAGTGGAGAGCAAAGACATCGCCATAGGTCGTTATCTGCGCTGTGATATTTTAATGCTAATTTGATTTATGTTTTTTTTTCTGCTTTTAATACGCTATGAACCAGCCGTTAACAGGCCTACTTCTCTTTGTGACACACCCAGTAATCACAGACATAATTATTTGTAACATTTTCTCTGATATTTCACACTGATGAAAGTCAGAAGATGTAAGGAAACAGCTTTTCTTGAGCCGAGTAAAACTTAAAAACTTCTTTCCGCACTGGGAATTAAGTTGCGGCACATGACAGAAGCAGTTTTTATTGTCTTCTTACACTTCCTGAACGCTAGGCGGCGCGTCTCCTACAACCGCGCTATGAACACGAGTAGTAGCTTCCCCCCGACTTTTCATATATGCATCTGCTTCCGGGGCAGCTCTTCCTCTTCGCTTCTGCAACGGGTTGGCAATCATGGTAAGCGACACTCGGCTCTCGTTTCTTTTTTTAATCAATTGTAATCTTTCAACCTGAAGTTTCCCTGTAGCATCCAAACACAGTTATCGTGTTCACGAGTGTCTTGGCTACGTGTGGACCCCATTATGGCTGGTGTTGGGTTTGCAAAACTGAAACATTACGAATAAGTGTTGTATGCGGGGCCGAAAAGTGTAGGGTTAGAAAATGGCTGCCTTATTTTGTCGGAACGCTCCGCAGTACGTTACCAAACTGTATTTCCCTTGGGCTGTGTGTTTAAACGCACATGTTTAGTACGCATGCTGTCGTTGCTGTGTGCTCTGGGTGGCGGATTTTGTATTTCCACGGAGTGGTGTTTGGGAGTTTGTGCTGTGTGCGTCCGCCGTGTGTCATTTTCACATTGCGAAGTTGTCTGAGCTTGCTCGTTAGAGCTGGTTTAATAAAACCCACGGGCAGTCTTTGATTTGAACAGTAACACGACTGGTCAGGTCTTAGGGGGCAGTTGTACGAAAATGCTACTTTTCGACAGCCACCAATACGGGTCGGGTGGTAAGCTTGCTCCGATGGCAGTTTTATTTTTGTTGCGAAGTTTACCGAGCTGTTTTCATGGAGCGGAGCTGAGTGGTTACGGGCGGACTCGGAAGGGACGTGTGAGACCACTGCGGCTGTAGTCCAGAGGCTGGCCTGGTCGAAGAGGGTGCCAGGCGGGGCTGGTTCAGATGCCAGTCCGACTCGGCCACGAGTCTAGGGGCTGTGGGAGGACACCGGAGCGGGCAGAGACGAGCAGCATGCTCTGAGAGAGCATGCAGGCTCCACACAGCAGGACCTGGACCAGGCCGCGGAGCAGGCTGGGTAGCTTTAAGGAAGCTGCTGTTGGAATTAATTTAGGATCCTTCAGTGCCTGGACGGTCTTAATGCATTATCAGCTGGTAGCCATATGGTCATTAAAAGTTAGGGACAAATACAGAGACAAGTTTCTACTCTCGTAATGCTTAAAATGACCTGGTGTTTTCCAGGTCCTGTCCCCTAGTATGCTAAGGTTGAATAGCTGCCCCCTTTCTGATGTTTTTTCCCCTCTCATTGTGACGTTTAGGTGAACGTGCCGAAAACCCGCAGGACCTACTGCAAAAAGTGCAAGAAGCACCAGCCCCACAAAGTGACCCAGTACAAGAAGGGCAAAGACTCCCTGTACGCCCAGGGTGAGTGTCTGCCCTCGCATGGGGCATCAGGGGCCACACTGGCAGGACGCCCTGGCGCAGTAGCAGGGTTCTTTATCTTCTACTCTTGCAGTACTGTCCCTTTTGTACAAACGTTGGTTTAAAGTCTTTTGAAACATCTTGTGCTTTTTTTCATTCCAGGTAAGAGAAGATACGACAGGAAGCAGAGCGGTTATGGTGGTCAAACGAAGCCTATATTCCGTAAAAAGGTATAAATGCTAATTATCACAAACTGATGAATTATACATTTTCCGTATTGTTTCACAGGCATAACTTTGGTATACTATTTATCATCACAGTTTTATTTTTTTTAAATGGATGGTTTTGTCTTTTGATTACTGAGATTTGTGAAATTCTTGGGAATAACACAAGAGCTGTCTTTCATTTGTGTTGTGGTGTCAGAAATGAGTTTGGTTTCTGTACAACGCCTAGCTGTTGTTGCTGCTCCAGTGTTTAGCTCTGTTCCTTCCTGTTGCAAATTGAGTGCCTAAAAATGGCCTTGTCTCTTCAAAACAGGCTAAAACCACCAAAAAGATTGTGCTGAGGCTGGAGTGTGTGGAGCCGAATTGCAGGTCCAAGAGAATGCTGGCCATCAAGAGGTGCAAGCACTTCGAGCTGGGAGGAGACAAGAAGAGAAAGGTAAGGAGCAAGCAGCCCCCCCATTGGCCCAGGCCGTTCTGAGCAGCACGGCTCACCTCAGCACCTGACATTTCACCCACACGTTCAGGACACCTGCTTGTCTCTCACCCCAGCTAGATGGGGCTGGGATCATTTTTCCAAATCGAAATGTTGTTTTCCTTTAGAACTGACTTGTATCTGACATCTGACCATAAACGTCTTGGAGGTATTGAAGTTTGGAAGATGCTTTTTAGCATTTAAAGTTTGGTGCTCAAAAGGCTCTTGCTGTTGCCATGGTTTGTTCTCTAATGCCGGAGATCTCTTGCATATTGAATGCAGTTTAAATCGATTAATGCGACCACCACAGTAGAATGTTTGCCTGATGAAGCCAATTGTAGTATTTAATTTGGTAATTCTTTCTAAATCTTCTGTAAGGTGTCCTGTCAAGATACAGTAGATAGATGCCTATATGTTGAATGAAACTGTTTTGTGCTGAAAAAATGAGGATTTAAATTTAAACTGTGATGGTGTTTGTCAAGTAAGAATTAAGCTGTGGGTGTAATATTGCCCATTCAAATTAAGTTTAAGTTCATTCTGCACATCCAGATGGTAGAAGTCCAGTGTTCAAGTTGGACTGGTAAAAGCCATGTCTATGCTCATGCACAGAGGGTGTTGAGCTTGGTTGGGTGGTCGTTTTGTCTATATCAGATTCTCCGCAGCTACTTCTGACTGTAGCACTTAAGGCTGAAGGCTGACGGGAGCCTTACGGATTTCTCCAGTGTTCATGTAGCACTGCACAAAAGCAGATGTGACATTCTCTTGAGTGCTGCACACAGTTGAGCTCTCTAGTATGTTTGGTGAGGAGAGCTGCTGTGCTGGGGAAGTATAAAGCTGTTTCATATAGCCCATGGCCAAAGATGTACTTTAGCCAATGCAAAAAAGGGAGAAGCCAGACTGCTTCATTCTTGGGGTTGGCTTGTTCAGTAAGCCTTTCACGAAGATTGCAATGTGGTTAATATCATAGTGCAGTGTGTCAAAAGGACATTCTGTGACCCTAACCAATTTGTTTTAATGCAGTTTTTATAATATGTGAACATTTAACAGCAATTTGACATTTCCCCCCCATCTCTTTCAGGGCCAGGTCATCCAGTTCTGAGCTACACCTTTTTTTCTTGTTTTTTGGATATTGCAGCATATCAATAAAGAAATTGGTATGTACCATGAGCCAATTGTCATGATTTAAAATGCTAATGTCAAATTAGAGATCACTGAAACGAGGGGTGGTGACTGACCTGACACTTTACTGATGCAATACAGCTGAGTATTTCATGTATGAAAGTGTGAAAGACCTTAAAATTATGATATGAACAACAAATCAAAATGGGGATAGTAGGAAATCAGTTTATTTTAAAGAAATAGAATATAAAGTCTTAACCCAAATCAGTTCGTACAACAAGCATAAAATACTTTGTTCTGCAGCTCCCGGCCTTTCCTGAGGTAAATGTGATTTTGGTGTGTTGTGCAAATTCAGTAACTTACATTTAAAAAAATATATAGTCTAAGACTAAAATCACTAACATTATCAGTAAGGGTCAAAGCCACCACTTTTAGTAAAATCAAATGACATAATTCTTAAAAGTTAAACTGAACCAATGCGTACTGTCAAGAGTTCCCTTTTCACCCTTCTAATGATTCAGTTCACCTTGCTACAGCATGACTGCTGTAAATGTTGAAAGAGGAGCAGAGCCCGTACACAATAAAATTCAAGAGAAGTGCAGCAAGGCAGACTGGGGAAAAATGCTCGATGGTGTTGTTCACAAGTTGGGGTCACGGCCTTTCTTCTGCTTCTCGAAGTCCATGGGCCAGACCCAGTCCTGCTGCGTGCTGGGCCTGCCCGTGACGGGTGTGGCGGTGAAGAGCAGAGTACCCGTGGGGTTGACGAGAAACGTCAGCTTGGAGTCCGAGGTCTGGACTCCCAGCTCTTGGTACTTGGGCAGGACCTGCGTGACGTTGCACTGGGGGAAGCAGATCTTCTTGCTGGGCAGCACAGCTGCAGTGAAGGGGAAGAAGCCCGGTCCCCCTATTTCCCGCCTGTTCAGCACTGCATAAGCCATTTTCCCTCCAGACAGGGGCCGCTCCCACACCTCGAAGCTGTTGGCCTAAAATTTAAACAGCAAAGGAAACGTGTAAAGAAATCAAACATTTTCAGTAATGAATCTCAAGTCCCGTGGTTATCTTCAGAGGGGCGAGATGGGAGTTAGGCCTCAGGTTGTCTTTTGCCAACAGAAGATGGAATTTGGTGATGAAATTGAGTCACTAGTTCGTACCTGGCCAACAATATGTTCAGGATGATGCTAACGAGATGTTCATTATGGCTTCTCATCACTAAAAATGCAGAAAACTACGTTGCTATAAGAATCTACTAACTTCTCTGCAACTGAAACAAATTTAATAAAGCTTTAACTTTAGAGAAGGTTCAAAAACTACCAAACAACTCACTTATCCCTAGCATGCTTAACTTCTCAACTAGTCACCTATGGGTTCTTGCATGTTTCAAGATAGATCGCAGTGAATGCTAAGCATAGCTTGGTACAGAATAAAACTACTCCAGTGTAAAGCAGTGCCTTGTTATAAAAGGCAAAATGTCTTTAAACAGTTTGTTTTTGTCTTGTTACTTTTAAAAATGACTTGAGCGGAGCCTCACCTTCATAGTCTGGTAGCCCTGCATGCCCAGGGGGTCCTGGTTGATGGCGATGACTCTCCGGTTCTGCAGCAGCTCCTTGGACTGGGGGTCAATGTCACGCAGGTCGTTGGACATCATCAGGGGGGCCGCCATGATGGCCCACATGGCCATCTGAGTCTGCTGCTGGTCTTTGCTGAGTCCAAAGTTTCCAATCACGAGCTGAGACACAGAACAGCATGGTTCGAAAATGGCTTTTCTAATCATGGCCTTTCAGAGCGCACAACTTGTCTTATTTTCTTTAAGCAAACATTCTTTAGGTTCATTGTGCGGTTTTAGTTGTGATGTTTAGAGGTGAAGTCTGGAGGATCCAGTGGGGTGGAGAACTGAGGAAGTGAAGACAACACTAAGGAAGTGGGTGGTTTGATCATCTATAAACAGGATCCAGGACATTAATAAGTGTCAGGATTTTTTAAATTCAGTCTTCCTTAATATGGAACTATTTTATTTAATACCCATTTTGAAATCACTGGTGGGTGTGTTGAAAGCATGTTTTGATTTGGCTTATTTGTTCGTGCCACAGCCATGAAGTACTAGGTTTAGTCCTGAAGTCTGCGTATTGCTTTTGTGGCTCCACAGCTAGTTCTGGGCAGGAGTCTACACGTAGCCTGAAGGATGCAGAATGAGGTAAACAGCCCTCTGGGCTTTGGTAACTTGGCCTTGCTCGAAACGGGGTTACCATGTCAGGATCGTTCCACCCGCCGGGCCCTGCGGCCGGGACGATCTGCTTCTGGATGCCGGATGTCAAGTCGATGATCTGCTGCACCGTTCTCCAAGAATCAAACACATCCTCGAAGTTGCGCCACTGGTTGCAGTACTGACGGATTGCGGTGTAGTTGGGCTGGAAAAGACCCGGGTTGTGAAACGCTACCGATTTAAAACATCGGGGTGAGTCATTACAAGTTCAGCTGCAGCATTTTTAATTAAAAATATGGGGGATCACTGCACTGATACGGCAACAAAACTGAGAGAAAACGTCTGGTCAGAAAAGGCTGCTGCTGAGTGTTATGAGAAAAGCAGGTTAATAAGACTGCAGAGCAATATCAGAGAGCCCTTGCCATAGCTTTGGAAGTTCAGTGATTTTTAATGATAGGTGGCCTGCCTGCTTTCAAAGCTGCATTGCACAGCAGCATTTATTTTAGAACACATGGAGCTTAACTGGAGTTCACATTCTCCCAGGTGCAGATCACGGTGAAGGTGCTTAAAAATAGTATCATAACGTGAACAGTGAGTCTGCAGGCAATTCTCTGGGCCTGATGAATGTGAATAAACACTACAGTGTGATTTACCCTTCAGCACGCTTCAAAATATGCTACTGAACAAAGCCACAGACCCTCAGGATTTATTCCAGTGGAAGGATAGATAAAAAATACAAGTTTTGAAGCTTTCAAGCTTTTACCCTTAACAGGTGCTCCTAATGTACATATTAGGTTTTAAATGTTTCCATTGACTGCAATGGTAACTGCAATGGTAGCTTTTGGTGTCTTTACAAATATGTAAAAGATCTTTCAGATTGGTTTGTGAGCATAACTATTGCCATGGTAAACACTACCGCTTCTGTACTGCTGCCTGAAAATCTGCACGCTTTATTTCAGATACCTTACATTTACCCCCTTTTTTCCATATGTAGTTTTGGGATATTTGTGACATTTTTGGACTGGCAAATTCCTGTTTGTAGAAGGTCAGTTAGGTTTGGAGGCGATGTTAAAGAAATGCATTAGAGTATCTGTTGCAGCTAGTAGTGTCATGTACCTTTTGGTGAGATGATTCATATAATGGCCATTCACAGGAATACAATATCTTCCTCCCAGTCTGATTGAGTGCCCTCGACATGTTTATGTAACCTAGAGAAGATTTTATTTTAGAAACATTATGAGAAAGTAAACCTTCATCTTGTGACCATGTGAACGAGATATTACCATGAAAGCCAAAAGTGCTAATACCACTGTAGCAGAGCTAGTTCAGATACGGTGATGTCAGCGCCCTCCCTGCGCGTAGCGGGGACCTCAGCCGCCTGCGCTGGGGGGGGTCTCCTTTAGCTCAAGCGGCTGGTTTCCTGTGGCGTTACGCCGGAGACCCGGGTTCGCGCCCCAGGTGTTGCGGGACGGAGCGGGGTGGCGGAGGGCACGAGCCTGCGCGGAACCGCGGCGGTCACGCCGTCTCTAGAGTAGGTTGAACAGTCTGTACAGCTTGTATCTGAGTGTCATGCTGAAGTATTAGTGTTTCCATAGCACCAATTCTTTAAAGAAAATGCCTCTACAACCCCTCACCTTCTGCATATAAAGTCCAGTTTGGCATATTGCATCCATCATATTTGAGCAGGTCCACCTCCCACTCCGCAAAAGTCTTGGCATCTATGTCGTAGTGGCCATAGCTCCCAGGATAGCCCTCGCACGTCTTCAATCCCACATCCGCATAAATGCCCAGCTTGAGCCCTTTAGAGTGGATCTGAGAGCAGATGGACAACGCAGGAGAGAACAGTGCTATATTCTGTTTGAACGCTAGAGGGAGCTGTTGCACAAAAAAAATGCATTTCTAGGCTTCAGTAATCACCTGCTGTGCTGATCCTTCACCTTCAACCTGCCTATTTAAATACTTCAGGCTGTTGAATGCCCACACTGGGTAAGCTTGAATATTACGATATTGAGTGAAACTGATTTCTTTTCCCTGAGAAATCTAAATTGATGATACAGCGAAAAGACAAATGTGTGAGGGTGTCCAGCCCTGCGCTTGGGCCGGGACGCTGTGGACCGGCTGTGCTGCTGCACGCCTGACTCACGTAGCGGGCGAGCTGCTTGATGCCGCTGGGGAACCGCTTGGGGTCAGGCTGAAGCCGGCCCTGGGCGTCCCGGCTGGGGGCCAGCCAGCAGTCGTCGATGCACACGTACTCGTAGCCTGCCTCCTTCCAGCCCTCCTCCACCATCACGTCCGCCATCTGCATGAAGAGCTTTTCACTACAGGGTCACACAGAGGAGAGGGTCTGTTGCGGGCGCCCACGTCTGTGCGGGAGATCGCATTCCACTGCCACAGCCTGCGACACATACACCCTGGCCACCAAGGCCAAGCGCTCCTATCCGAGCGGTTTTTGTGCAGCGGGTAACGTATTTATTTTTTCCCTAAAAGAATTATTCATGTACCTGCATGTTCCTTTCCAATCCCCTCTCACAGTGATGTTTCTGATTCGCCTCAGGCCTGTCCAGGAGCTGGAGGGCCGGTGTGTCTGCAGGTCTTCATTGCAGATCAGCTCTTAATGAGCTCCATCAGATCGCTACTGACTGAACTGTACAGCTCCTCCCGGCTTCAGGTGCTGCTGCTGTAAAGACACCTGGAACACCGGCTCTCCAACACCAGGACTGGAATCCCCCGAAACCTATCATTCAAGTCTTTTCTACAAGTGATTTACAGTATGTTTTAAACAACTGAGTGTATGATGGAAAAAAGGACTCATGATGATACTGAGAAGTCAGCATCTGCACCTTGTATGAAGCACAGTGAAAAGGAGGGCACGTTATCTCCCAACAGTTCCTGGAGGCAGGCGGGGAGCAGCAGTGAGCACAGACCTGGAGATTACTCTCCCCCATCGCTGCCAAAAATATCATTCGACTTTAATGACTAAAAAAGCGCTCTTCGGCGTCTGGGGGAGTGTGATCTCGGGTGGAAATGTCAATAAATGCTCAGGCTATTCCCAGAACTTTAGCTGAAGAGAATGAGAACAGATAAGGACAAAAACCAAAACCCTCAACTTTCTCTACTATAGAATATATTCCAATAAGCACCTACATGTTGCCTGCGCGGCCTTCCAGCGTGTTCACAATGGCTGGTGCATTTTGCTTATGATGAATGGCAAATGTCCCTCGCCCAGACACGGGTTCGAATGCCAAGAAGACTGACGCCAGTTCGTCAATATGCAATCGGCGCACTGACCCGTATGTGTAATGCAGGAACACACGACCTTACCTAATGCAGTTCTCGGGATCGCTGCCACAGTCGACGTTACACACGAATCGTTCCCAGTGGAGCCAGCCCATGGGAGGGGTCAGCGCAAGGCCATTGTCCAGCAGCCGGACAGGCTGAATGAGTGCACAGACACCCACCGATAGCAGCAGTACCGCTAACCTCGCCATTGCGATCGCGACTGCTTTTCGGAAACTTCAAGCGCAAAGAAGGAACAGACTTCTTCCTCGTTAAACCCCACCTTCGTGTCTAGTTTTGCCGGAGAATATGACCAATAATAAGCGGGGTGTGTGAATATCAGCAGGTCGTACGGCGGGTTCAATTGACTTCCTTCTTCCTCTCGTGATCTGGGCGGTCATGTGACTTTCTGTCATGTGATTTTGTTGACTCCTGTCCTCGCTTGTGACTTGAACGGTGTTCCGCGTTTTTACGCTTTGATCGTATTTTGCGTGTGACTTTCCTTTAAACAATTTGGTTGATTCTGTGTCAAAGGTAAAAAAAGACATGCCGCCAGTCGTAAACCAAGTTGAATCTTCCTCCCTGTGGATGCCCAGTTGGTTTGATATTGATACATTGATGCGCGCTGATTTAAGACTAGCCGACAATGTTCTGTTCACCACAGAGGAGATGCACTTAGTGTTTTATAATCATAACTCATAATTATAATAGTGGTTAATAACGATAACGCAACATTGCATGTATATACCCAAAGGACAGCGAATAGGTTTTGCTAAACGGAAACCCAGTGAAAACGCAATTTAATTGGCTTCTAAGGGGATGTATAGTACAATTAACTATAAAAACGAGGGACCTCGATCTTGAACTAGTAGCACAGTGTTTTGAAGTTTTTATTATTTTCGAACACGTGGGGTCTGATAGGACGAGCAGTCGCGATCCAGGTGAGATCCATTCGAGTCTTCTGTCCTGGAACCTCATCCCAGACCCCCTCAGCTTATATGCCTCCTGCTGCTCCTACTTACAGATGCACTTGTACACCTGTGATCGGAGGTATAAGAGCGCTGCTGTCTGCAAAATCTCCGTTTATCCACGAGGCCCGCTGTGCCTGTCATGTCCTTGCGCGGTTAAAAACAATGTTAATAATAATAAAAAAAAAACTACAATGAATATGCAGTGTTGTTCATTTTTCACGGCACAGTTTAGAAAGGACGGAAACCAGGTAAGTGCGTGCGATGCACGGGGTCGACTAGGTGTTTAGACAGATCTCTTCCTATCACTTTTTATTCGGTAAAGGTGCCGTCCGTGTCTGTCCAGCCAGCCAGTCGGAAGTCTGTGGTCAGTTGCAGTAATTGTCCGGAAAGCTTTCGCTCCTTAGAATAAAAATGACCTTTACCACACTGGACTGTCCGCACCGTAACACCGTGCCTCTCTGCCGTACCCCTCCACTTGAGAGTACATAATCTGAAACAGTCTTAAATGCACAGTAATTTTACTTTATGCAGATTCCCTGGTGGTGGATTAAGAATAAAAACGCAGATGATAATTTCCGAAATAAAATGCCTTGTGCAATCAAAGACATGCATTTTTGAATGACAATAAGTTTTGCCACTAAACTGTCATCTATGCCTGTAATGTCATTAGAATTGATGATTAATTCGGAATTTATTTTTATAATGCATTAAATATTTTACAACATATTCAATGTTACTTGGCTTTTACACGAAAATGCCTAATGTTTCATTCCAGTTTTAGTTTCCTCAGATCACTTGCATGTTTAAATTGCAAAACAAAACAATCCTTTACTTGCTGTGCTGAGATATACAGCTGAAATATTTAAAAATGTGTATCACTCAGAGCCGATGGTCTATAATTCTGAGTTTTATGTAAATAATAATGATAGTATACTTTTATGTAAGTGCTTTTTAAAAATGCTATGTATTAGTGCATGTGTAATATACTTAACAGAAATAAAAGTGATTACTGAAATGAAGGGTTATGCTAAACTGCACACTACAAGTTGCAGTAAAAAGATGCTGACAGTCTCTAAAGGCCAGTGAGTTGCACAGCTGTGGTCCTGCACACTAGTGGGCTCTGTAGCCCATTGAGTGGAGAATGGTCTCCAGTAGTGTGAGATGGGCTGAGTCAGCAGGTCTGAGGTTAAGTGTGGGACTATGTGCAGTAAACCCTAAAGCTAACCTGGAGCTTGACCATTCAATGCTTGGTGCTGTTCAAAGCAGAGCCTTCAAGCTAAACATTTGTTCAGGACAGAGTTACAACCAGAGCTGGAGCTGATTGGCCATTGGTGTCACATTCTCTTGCCAAAACAAGGACACCCTGTACTACTGTATTACTGGTCCTATTCTTGTGTTTTTTGGACAGTGGCATTATCAGAGGAAATCCATTGCACACAAAGGAAGCAGGTTCTTTAGCTGGCATTACCAGATAAAAACAAAATAATCACAGTGTTCTGGGCTGCATTTAAGTGTGGTCATTAATAACCAAGAAACCCGACCTTTCTCAAAATGTCAAGGGGACGTTTTTCAACATAAACATTATCAAAGGCTCTAGTAAGAGACAGGCCTGATGCAAACAATTTGTCATTCACTCTACTTAATATCAGAGCTGGAGAAAAGGCAGAGCCTCTAAATGTCAGATTTCAATTTTACTTGCCCCCCTGATGGATGGGCCAATCGACTTACTTAGTTACAGATGTAGTTTCTTAGCAATAAAAGGATCTCGACCGCAACATTGATAGATTCTTCAATTTTTTTGTTTCCACAAAAGCTGGATTATGCTGAGGCACTGCCTGTCTGTGCAGTGGCTGCAGTTTGTGACTGATGCACCACAAAGTGCCACATCCTGCTGTATGTCTTTTATTCTGCAACTTTAACGCCAGACAGTCGTGGGACATGGGCTTCAGTCCACGGCCTGCTGGACCTTACAAACAGTAGGAGAAAATGATATTCATGTTTTATGATATAAGTAGCACAACATGGAAACCTTGGTCAAGATGCGTGATGAAATGTTGAATTGTCAATCTTGGCATTATAATCTTGTTGTTATAAATCGTATCAAAGAGCTCATTAGGGTTTCGATAGAAACAGGAGGTTAGGAACAACCAAGGTTGGGTGATGACTTATCCTTTCTCAAAATCTTGCAAATTAAATGAGGTATCAGGTGGTTGAAACTCTAATTCAGACATGTGAAATTGGCTATGCATTAAAAACTGAAACAGGTAGATATCACAGAGCAGTTTCCCCAGTGTGTGAGAGGCAAGTGTACAACTGGTACAGTTTCTGTGTCCACTACCACAGTGGGTTTATAAACTGTACCTTTCGTGAACAGAGACAACAGGTAAGGGCTTCATTCTTCAAACCCACTGGGCTCGAGTCTGAGGGCAGTAATCTGTTGCTTTATCTGGTTCTTCATTCAGCTTTATTTTAAATTGCATGACTAAGAATTATACAAAGAATGCTTTTCAGCTTTCACGTGTCGCCAGTGCCTCACCTGTGTGCGCGGCCGTGGCCGTATTGGGTGACGTCACGTGTCAGTCCTGCATGACGACACTCCCTATTGCCCCTAAGCAGGAAGACACTGTTCCAAGCAACCTGGAAAACACATCGCACTTTGAATGATAATTTTACCTCTGGTCTGCAGGGGGTAAAAAGAGCACTGCTCAGTGAGGGTTTTTCCTGATTACACATAAATATTTGTAATAATTATGGTACAGTAAAGTGACTAGTTCAGTGGAGAGTTACAAGACCCCGGAGAATGAGCCTCAATGAATTTTGAAAAAAAAAAAATCAATATTAATAGTGAGATCAATATGGAATTCTGTTTGTAGCGCTTTAAAAAGGAATACACAAAAATGACCTTCAGTTAAGATGCCATTATTATAACAGCGCGGTAGCTGCCATTCGTGATCCAGCTTTTCGCGAGCTTTAATGATCTTTTTTTCTCCTATTTTAATTAGGTGTAACTGCTTATTGCAGTAATGCAGTAATTTTACAAAGCATATGGCAAGATCAATGACAAGCAAGATCAGCAGGACTTTGTTTATATGCGCGCGCACACACACACGCTAAGCCGTAGATGTACCGAAGGCCATTCGGACCAGTATGGATTCATTGTTGCTAATGTGCAGCTAACGTCAGTGTCTCCATTTCCTAATGGAGTGTTCCGACGCGCTTTGTTAAAAAATTGAACTACTGAAGCTGCTTGGCGCCTTTCTGAAAAGTGTAGTTCGTTTTACAGACCGCACAACAGGATGTGGATTGTTTGTTTTTTAAAGGAAGCCATTTAGGAAACCAACTTCATAATGATTTGAATAACATTAATCAATCAAGAAATGGAATAAACACTTCACAATTACCCCCCCCCCCAAAAAAATGTGCACAGTTATTTAATGAGTATAGCCTCTAATACAGTTTACCTATGCTATGCTCAGCTCTTGGGGTACAGCGGATGAACCAGCTGGACTACTCAGCCCATTGTCCTTCCAGTCTTCTCCAGCCAGTTGCTTGTCCAGTATGTCCAGTATGATTAGAGCTGTTCAGTGCACTGAGTTGGACGTTCACCTTGTCAAGGAGTCTTACAATGCAGAAATAAGCCTTGCAATGGTCTTAGACAAAGGAGAAACCAAACCGGTGCAGTTCTCTCTGCCTAAATACTCTGTGCTTGTGTTGAATACATCTTCAGTGTTTGTTGTGCACATGGCACATTTCTGTGTTTGCCACTGTTTTGAACAAGTCAGTGAGGTGGAGCTCATTGTGAAAGGCTACTCATTGAAGACTGAAACCAGGCTAAGACGCCACTCAGATCATGTACAGCAGCACTAAAGGGATAGAAGTGGTCCAGTTTGCTGTGAACTCTTTCAGGCTGAATCAATATCTTGGTTGCACTAGAACTCTGAAACTGAAATCCAGATATTTGTTGGTAGGTTTTCTCTTAATTCTGCACATTAAGAGCTGAGAAAGTTGTTTAGTGTGACAAACTTAAAGAAATAGTGCTCTCTCACGAAAACAGTTTTTAGTAATCAA